TAGACATGTAAAAAAGGTCTCTTTTATTCTTTAGAAGTTCTTTTTATAAGGAATAGGCATGGATGTAAAAACAAACTTAAACAATACACTGAACTTGAAAGGCATTGAGTGAATGAGTGAGTTGGGTTTTAACAGTATTCCAGTCACATCACGGCGTGTCAGCTTAATGTGGGAGGAAAGCCTGAAGTTATGCAGGTCTCAGACGTTTACCACTTCGGTGAAACCCACAAGCATGGGTATGGTGCTGACAAACCTAGAAACATAATCGGGGCGAACCGGGATTCGAACCCACAATCATAGGTTTCTGGCGTGCCCAAGGGACGCAACTTTGCACAGCGAATCTCGGCGCCTTAGACGACTGGGCCACCCGTGCCCCTGAAAGGCATTGAGAAGTGATACACATAAGGAAGAGAATTTATGGATGTCAGCTTCTTTATTATCAGAAACACAACGTTTCGGAGTATATATGTTTACTCCTTCATACTCCGAAACATTGTGTTCCTCATAATACAGACGTTAACATCTATAAATTTGCTTCCTTATATACACTGAACATTATTTATCTTAATTGGTTGAAAAAAAATATGAAAAAGTTGAAAACTAAATTAATCTGAAAAGCACCTGTTTTGTTCCACAGTATTCAAAATAATGTGTTCATCACAGAAAAAAAAATGCTTATAAAGGTTTATATTGCACGTCTGACAAGACAACTAAGTCAACATGACAACATATTCAGATAGAGTCTTAAAGAACAAAATAAATCTAAAATATCTTGCTTTTTGGTGTTTTTTTCAACTAACCATGCTAACAAGCATCATTTTTTTTACAAAAGTCAGTTAATCAATAAGACCAAAATGCCTGGCCTTACAATCATGATATAATATTCATATACAAATATACCTACAAACTTCTCAGTTACATGTGGTCCTGTACGTCCATGCTGAAAGCACTAAGCTGCTTATCAGAATATACCTGCCTCTAGCCTATTAAACAACTGTTTCCTTTTCCTGACAAAAAGTTTCATGAGTGATAAATTTAGCATCAACTGTGTACCGTAGAGGTTATAATCTTTCATGGTTAACAGCTAGGAAGTGAAGAAAAATGGTTCAGAATTGACAAAACAAAATGCAAAAAGACTTTTTTCAAAAGGAACTATTCACAATGATTATTCTTTCAGTGCGAAACTCTCAAGATGCTCAAACAGGAAGAATTCCGGCCTTGAGATTAAATGTGGAGTGGTGAAAAAAAACAAAAAAACTTCATTTGTCCCCGGGCAAGATATCTATCAAAGTCTACTCATCCTGGCCTGAGGGCCACTGGGAGTTCCGATAACCACAGGACACTTCAGCTTGTGTAATGCATTTCATGGGCATCTGGGTTACCGTATTGGACGTAATAAGCGCCCAGGGCACTCTCAAAATTAGAATATTATTTTGGTGAAAAAAAAGTTGAGTTGAAAGATATATTTCGTGGTTTATGCTGACAGCCTGAAATGTTGATGTACGACATATATTTTTCCGGAATTTAATTGCCCATAATTAAGTGTGCATATAACGAGTGCGTTTTATACGCAAATAAATAAGTCTTGTGTACATTAATCAATCGGAAGAGGTGCTAATTGGGATTGTTCACTAGCCAATATATTAGCAAATATCGCCGTGGGCGTTTATTAGACTAGGGCGCTTATTACGTCGAATACGGTAAACCTTGGCCTTGATGTGGAGGTTAGGGTTGTAGTGATACACTTTGTCACAATAAAGTACATATCTCAATAGGAGGGTCGTGATACGAAACACAATACCAGCGGTTTTAGTCCACTGGTGCTCATAGTGGTAACATATCGCAAAACCCTTAAAAATGGCAAATTTCTACTAGTCCTAGTCTGTCTTACAGACCCTGATACAAATATATCAAATACAGCCCATGCGAGTCTACAATGTTTGGCAAGTCTAGATTACAGTCTGGAAATGAAGAGAGTCTGGGCTACTTTTTATTATATTTTTATTAAGATAATTTAACAATTGGGTTTTTTCTGTAAGAGATGTTCATTTCAGAGACTAGATGTTAGTCTATACTAGTCCTTATGATACCTTAACTATTGAGCAGTGGGACTGGTGCCAATTTCTAATGCTGAATATGACACATTCATCATCAAAGGCAATGAACAGAATTATCAAACACACCTTGCAGTGTTCCAAACTACAGGGGGCGGTCGGGTAGCCTAGTGGTTCAAGCGTTTGCTCGCCACGCCGAAAACGCGGGTTCGATTCCCAACATGGGTACATTGTGTGAAGCCCATTTCTGGTGTCCCCCGCCGTCATATTGCTGGAATATTGCTAAAAGCGGCATAAAAACATAATCGCTAATCGCTCCCAACAAGGGGGGCTCCTGGAATCTTTGAGATTTGTTCTCATAGTATTTGAATCTTTGGACTCTTTAGTCTTTCACATTTTTAACAATAAGGATATGACACCTTGACTTTCATACTTATAGAAACACGGCCCTGTACGTCTGAATTAATTAATCTGGATGTGCCTTCAGACCTCATTGTACATGCCGGTAGAAAGGAATATTTTACAAGGAATTTCCATAGTTTTACATGACAATTACCTTATATATACCTGTATTGATCTGTATCAATGCAGAACCTCACAGTACGATACTCGTGTCACAGACAGGACATGATAGAGTATGGCAATACATTAAACATTCGGTGAATGGTTACACTCCTACTGGAGGTTACAAATGCTTTTGTTATCACATATCAGTACAAATCAGATCACATGTACACTGTTCAACAACTTGTACACCTGGAATAGATCATTTTTTAATGACAGGACACAGTACATACTAATTACTCGGAGTACAGTAGTACTATTCATACGTCATACGCATAGCAATCTTCATGAACTCCAGGTGAAAACAGCACTGTCGTGAGATGAACACACAATTGTTGTTTTGCTTGCGCAGGAGGTTCAAATATCATAGAAGGCTTTAACGATCCCTTTAATTTCCAACACGGTATGTGTATCATAAGTATTTGTACTGTAGTAATGGTTAATGTCAAAGATAAAGAAATCCTATTATAGCTAACACTTTAGCAAAGTTTGCAATTCTTGCTATGAAACAAATGTGATGTAAACAACTAGGACTACTGTAAAGAGCAGCATGGAGCCTCTCTCTCTCTCTCTCTCTCTCTCTCTCTCTCTCTCTCTCTCTCTCTCTCTCTCTCTCAATGATATTTAACCATACTTGACAAGAAATGAGTACATATGCCTTCAGCTCAATTTTTACCAAAGTCCTAATACTCATACAGGTGTATTGAACACACTGTAGACAAGGTGTAACAAAACCTTGCATTACCAGTTTCCTCAAAAATAAATGGTACTAAACATGCCAAAGTTATTCACGACAGAACATATAGGTGTGTTCAATATTAGATGAATTACCGAATTCAATGTAATAAGCGAGGACGCTCTCAAAATTAGAAAGAGGGGGCTCTTATTAGAATATTATTTTGGTGAAAAGAGTTAAAGACAAATTTTGTGGTTTATGCTGACAGCCTGAAATATTTATGCACGACAGATTTATTTTTCCAGAATTAAATTGCCCATAATTAAGGGTGCATATAACACCCGAGTGTGTATTATACACGAATGAATAAGTCTTGTGTACATTGATCAATTGGAAAGAGTGCTAATTGGGATTGTTCACTTGCCGATATATTAGCAAATATTGCTGTGGGCGCTTATTAGAGCGAGGCGCTTATTACGTCGAATACAGTAAACATAATCAGTAGATGCTGCTGAACTGTGGCACACGTGCACAGTGACAACACTCTTTCTACTTCCTACATGGACCTCAAACACCTTTTGGGCCAGGGTATAATTCAGACTCAGGAACTATACAGGAACTATATATGCTGTTTCATCTTAAAGTGAGTGAGTTGGGTTAAACGCTGCTTTTAACAGTATTCCAGTTATATCACGGCGTGTCAGCTTAATGTGGGAGGAAAGCCCGAAGTGATGCAGGTCTAAGACGTTTACCACTTTGGTGAAACCCACGAGCACGGGTATGGTGCTGAAAAACCTAGAAACATAATCGGGACGAACCGTTTCATCTTAAATGTGATAGAGATGCATTCTCAAATTTGTTGAGTTTTTCACATCACGGTGACACATATGCCCTCCTAACACGCCTAAATTCCAAAACCCACAAACAACCTTTCCAATCTTACAATAACAGGAACATATCTATTCCGCAAAGTAGGCATCTCATTTCAAGAAGCAGGCATGACACCATTTTGTTTCTATTTTGCCCTTATAGAAAATATACCACACCAAAATAAATATAATCCAATACTATAGAAACACCACAAGAGAAGGTGTATCAAGAACACTCTGTGATCAAAGTGATGCAAAAACCATTCGGTGTGACGTCTGACTGTTGATAAATGTGCAGCAAGTTTAGTATACAGATATATATATACTCCAGTTATATGCCAGTTTATAGATAAAATCATTCTAAAAGATATTCTCAAGTCTCTTAATATCCATTTAGTTCAGGCCCTGAAAAGGTAATGGGTAAGACTGCTTGTGCTTAAAAGGGATGAGAATTGAAATGAAGGCGACTGCTTTAGAAGGATTAGGGTATCCATAGGAGTCGTACCCGACACAATGTCCAGTACATCCCGGCAGTCTGTGAACAACAAAGTCTTGATCTGGTAAACTAGTGGTTGACAGCATGAGCAACACTCCACATCATCAGGGTGAAATGACAAACAAGCAGCCATCACATAATTATTGTAACAACCCCATTCTCGTAACTCATCTGTTGCCACAAGGGTGGGTTTCTATTCTACCGTGGATTCTCCACAGTAGCATCATTTCTAGAGCAAATGATGACATGAAAAGCTCATATCCCTCGCCCGTGATATTGTGCCGATTATCAAGTGATCATGCCACTACTAAACTGTGTATAAACTTGAAGTAATGTCTTACCTATAAGTGATACAATGACCAGTACAATCATCCTGACTAGACTGGTCTCTTCCTTTGCTGAAACATCAATGTAAATATATCATTAATAGTTGTAAACAACCAGAATAATAATAACAATAAAAATGATGATGATGATGATGATGATGATGATGATGATATAATGATAAATTTAGCTAGTGCTGTACTTCAAGAAAAGAAAAGAACCATAATTTTGTTAGAAATTGGAATTTTCCTAAAAGTCCTTATTTTTGTAATTTAGGTGTATTTCAATATTTCATTCAATGCAAAAATTCAAAACTAAATATTAAAAGCTCTTCTGGTTTGTTGGTCCTGTTATCAGTGAGATGCAAGTCACCACTGCAAAGCAGTAACATTATTTATCATAATAATAACATAACTTCGAAAATTCTTAATTCCAATCAGGGAATTTTTTACTGACATTAGCTTCGGGCTTTGGGCCAAATACTGACCTCAGAGAAGATCTATATAATTCCCTGTTACCCTAAATAACCTTCTCATTACAAAATGATGGAGTCCTCGTGAATTCTATGTTAACATGAGTAAAACTGTCCATACTCCCTGTAGCATAACAGCTCCACACTGATAAGAAATATAGACGTGGAATGTGCTGCTCACAATATTCTAAACTCAGACTGCAACTGTTAACTGCATCCAAAAATACTTCAAGACATTTTCAGGCTCAATTTCAAAACAACAAATATATTCCTTGTTCTTGAGTGTACAGCCCAAGGGTGGATAACTCTAAACACACCGCAATGGTGCACATGACCAGTGAACCAGAACTCACAGGTATAATGTATGCCACAATGAAGACTGGATTGACTTTTTTTAATTCTTGTAATTGAAATGAATCCTGTCTCCATTGAAAAAATCTCATTACAATCAGATCTTAGTTCTCGCTACCGCAAAACAAAGATCTGAGGACATCCCATTACGGGTCACACCCTTGCACAAACTTTGACCGACCAATGGAATGACAAATCAGAAGGCAGCTTTCTACGGAACAAATTTCAAATTGGTGACTACGCTTCGAAACATATTTTGACAAATTCTCGATTACAAATTTAAAACCTAAACAAAAATACATTCTAGAATGGCTAATAAATGGTCTAGATTGTGAGGATTCAGTCGTTAAACCTGTAACAATCGTTCGGAATACCCCATGTTAAAGTTTTCGAGATTGCATTCACTTAATCTTGTAAGCGACGCACTGATTGGTCGGATGAAAGGTCGTTCTGATGTGAGTGACCCCTAATGGGATGTCCTCAGATCTTTGTTTATCTGTAGCGAGAACTAAGGTCTGATTTAAATGACATTGTTATTGATACAACAGCTTCTAATTTACACTTAAAGACACAGTAGACCCGTGAAGATCTGGGTTAGAATAGGTCTTCAGCAATCCATGTTTGTTGTAAGAGGCAACTAATGGGGTAGGGTGGTCAGACTCTCTGACTTGGTTGATGCATGTCATCATATCCCAATTGCATGGATCGATGCTCACTGGGTTGTCTGGTTGTCTTATTGAGTATTATTTACAGACCACCGTCATATAGCTGGAATATTGCTGAGTGAGAGGTTAAACAATAATCAAACAAAGATACAGTAAACCATATGTGTAGAGAAAAAGCTTGTATGAGCAATTTAGCATCTATCTTAACTGCCCACTCAATACTGAGTCTATCCATGTAACAGAACCTGTATTTCTGGTGTTCTGCTGGGTTCTCAAGAACCACTGATTCTGTCATTACCTTTAGCCTGCTGAATTTCTAGCACAGGTTTTAGCCATGCTTTGGTTTTGGTTTGGTTTGTTGTTTAACGCCGCACTCAGCAATGTTCCAGCTATATGACGGCGGTCTGTAAATAATCGAGTCTGGACCAGACAATCCAGTGATTGATATCATGAGCATCGATCCACGCAATTGGGATTGATGACATGCATCAACCAAGTCAGCGAGCCTGACCACCTAATCCTGTTAGTCGCCTTTTACGACAAGCATAGTCGCCTTTTCAGCAAGCATGGGTTGCTGAAGACCTATTCTACCCAGGAATCTTCATGGGTCTGTTAGCCATGCATCTGGATGTATTTCACATAAGGACTGTAAAGAGTGTGGGTGATTTCAAACATTTGAGGCTTCCCTAAACATGGGACAAATGAACCAATACCTCGCACATGAATTCCTGATAGAATAATATATATTATGTCCAATTAACCTGATAATTTCCAATATACAGAGGTTAAGACCAATGCAAACAGAACATTCGTAAATCATCTTGAATTAGAAAGAATTAATTGAACTATGTGACTGAATGTGAAAATGTGTTTCATATGGCTTCCAACAGTAGCATAGCGAGAAAACAGTAATGAGTGGTGCATTTGTGCTCAATCGCTTTGTCTTTTTGGACAATAAAATATGTTCTATATTAACAGTAGCACTGACAGTTTAAGGATGTCCCTACATAAACACATCACAGCAGGAACCACCAACAGATGCCAGAACCACCACCTATTTCAAATACTGATCATTTCATTAAATGTTTTACATTTGTGTATGGCTCAATCATGTCAAATTTGTACAAGAAATTGGTTTTCACTTTGAAATACGGACCAGTTTTAGAAATTAAGATCTATTTGGGATTTGAGCTATAGTATCATATTTGGGGTTCCTGAAAACTGTATCGTTTAAGTTCTAAGTTTAAGGACCTGCTGACTTCCATCTGTAAATTTGAGCATGTATGAATTATGATGCTTTTGAAATTCACGAGACGATGACAATACTTTCATGTCAGTTAAGCTGTTTATACCTTAATTATACTTAAAATGCAGAAATGTAACACCACAATACGTATGTATCCACATCAAACCTGGGTAGGCACCGTTGGTCATATCTAACTAGTCCATAGATCATTTTGGACCAGTAGATTATGTACATAACATTATGTAACATACCTAGATTTGGGGAGAAAACAACTAGTCTGTCTACATTTTCACTAGACTCAGTCTCATGGACCATCAGCCTTGTCTATCCCTGTCAAACATGTAACAGCCAAACACAGTAACAATTCATGAATCAGATTGTCTACACAATACACCATTTATCAAATATCCACAGACCACAGGTATTTCACTCAGTTTTAGAAAGCTCAACATACTCAAAATAAATAAAAATCAGAAATTTCCAACAAGGTTGAAAGGCATGGACAAATACCAGACGGTTGAAAGAGATTTTGAGAAGACATGAATTTATCTAGATTCTAAATAAAGTGGGATATTCCTCTTCCTTTTGCTAAAAATCAGATCATGCTATTTGAGATATTTTGACTTTGTTCTACATTTAACTGCAGACTTGGGGCTAAATATTTGCCTTTGCAAAGGTCCATATAAATCCCTGAAACACTGTTTGCTATCACTACCAGTAATTTCAATACCTTAAGTGCTGTCTTCAGCTAGCATTCTGTCCATATAAACTGTGTGATGTCGACTGTATCACCACAGAGATCACAGACAACCGTGTAGACTCAATACTGGATACACTGGTTGCGTAATGTGTATTACCCAATTAACAAAAACTGGCAGGTGATTGGCATGCTGCACAGCTGTAAATTGCAAACAGTTCTGATCAATTACTTTTTACAATCATTGCCATGTCGGCTATTATCAAACTACAAACAAAATCTTCAATGTAACTTAATGCCCATGCATAGTAAACAAAACTGTATGCGTAATGTCAGAAATTGAGAGCGATCATAAAGGTTTTCTGAAATAGCCTGTATATGCCAAATATATGTAGATGCTACCTGTATATATCCTTCTTTTTGTATTGTCGGTATGAGTCGGTAGGTATAAATCTAAGTAATGTACTACACAATTTCATTTTGTATGTGTGACTTCGTGTTTACACTGACAGCGATACAACAATCAACTATAACACAGAATAAATAGTTTATCAAAATTAGAGGTGACATGAGCGTATGTATGCTCAACCTGCTCTACAGGAACAGCTTTTGTTCCTTGGTACAACAAACAGATTCAAATAATACCATCATTAGATAAGGTGTCTTACTAACAACCTCAGTCAGTCAAAGGTGACAGCACATCATAATACATTTACATCAAATACTGGACAACAAAATGGCGGACACGATAAAGGCGACGGAAGAGATATTTAAAGTTGTTCATGAAATTTTATGGTCTGGTTCAAATTAGCAATAACTGGTTCCCTTATTAAACAGTATCAGTATCACACACAATAAATAGTGTTTAAAGGGAATATAGTAAATATTGTACATCATGTTTGTTTCATTGACTTTGAACTAAGTTTTTTTCTCAACAAATATATTTTAAAAAGCACACCTCTATCTATTTTCTGACCACCCACATTGCTTACCACTGCAAATACAGTACATTTCAAAGACTAGGATTCAAATACTAATTGACATGATTGAACCAAACATATCACATACCTCTGAACATGTGGAGAGTAATACATATTGCAGTTGTTGTATGGATGGTATTATCATATTGCCTCAGAAATATTATAAAAAATGAAAAAGAGACGACTGTACAGTTACAAATATTAGGTATTTCCTTGAACGTGGAACAAATCCTGTTTGAAATTACAATCATATTATTATTAAGAGAAGGCTGTATTCTAATATTTATCACATGTTATGATATTGGAATAAATAATAATAGTAGATATATATAGATATTTAGCTAGGATTCATCTTGTTCATGGTACACTTTCTAAAAACATCTTCAAACTATAAATGTTTTAGTGTTTCCAACATGCATCATGACATGTTAGGAACATATCTTTTGTTTCAGAAACTATGTTCAGTGTTTGAACTTGACATGAAGTCCCATTTCCATTGCATAAATATGAAGTGCATGCCTTCATACATACATGTGCTCAAAAACATTTGAGCGAAATAAACAAAGATATGACAGACACATGTCAGTTGTCAGTTGCATGTCAAGCCATCTGTTATACATTTCGGCTTCAATTCGACCCAAATCTAACGTGAATATTTCATCAAAATGGATTGCATATGCACGATGTAACGAAAAACCAGAAATACACTGCCCAGACAGAACTACTGCAATTGAAATACTGCACGATCTTCAAAATACATAGCTGACATTCACCGATAAAAATGATTATGTGAACGAAGAGAGCCCCAATTTACCGTTACCATTGAAAAATTCTGACCCCGATTACGTTTCAATCGTGGATTCGTTTTAACACATGGATTATGAAAGATTTTAGTTTCAAGGTGTGTACTCACAAGAGGGATATTATCAGTATTTCTTCAATAATTACATCACTATCGTGTTATCAATTTCATTCACATATATTCGTCCGGATCCGCCATCTTCCTTAGCTTCTACACTTCCGGTCACGTGAGCACCCGGTGCCCTTTGTCAATGCTCTCATTCCCATGGACGGATATAATGTTATAAATGTTCAAGCGATGAAAGAAAATATACTTGTCAATATAGATACGATTATCCTGTAACTTTATTCCGTTCATTATCGGATTGTGTAGCGAAAGTTGATCCGTAGGGTCTAGCTATTTAGCGTGTAAACTGTATATTCAAACACAGATCAACTGAAAATAGATCAAAGTATATACTTTTTATTTTAGATTTATCACGTATGTTGTTTCGTGAAACAAAAAAGATTTAAAAAACACTGTGCTTTTCGGAACTTTCCCATTACCAATATCTCTATATTTCAACGAAACCTTAAGAAGATCATGTATAGACACTTACTAATTAATACAAAGTGATAAAAATATTTGGCCATTTCAATATAAATCCGCATTTGTGCAAAGACGACGTCTGTGCAAGTGTGGTATAATATAATGTAATATAATATGATATAACGAATCTTGAGACACATACCACATCATATATATACAGATATTCATGAAAATATGCCTATACAGATTAAAATGTAGATTCAATCGCTTGATTAAAATAGATTACATAATGTTTTTTTATAAGTTAAGTTTTGCGCGTTAGTGAGTCACTCATTTCAAAATATATATGCTCTTAACTGCGCTGCATTTGCTTCCCCAACGATATTTCAAAATTAATTTCTGAATTGATTTAGATCAGTTGATATAAATATTTACACACACACGCACGCACAAACACAGACGTGTGATTTGAGACGGGTCATTCGTACCGGTCACTAATGCTGTTAAATTTTACAGAATATTCCTGCACAGTTGTGTCAACATGAACAAAGGCGGTTTCGATACAAAACGAATATTATCGGAGCACTGAAAACTTGCTCAATCGCGAAGCATCAAATTAATGTTGCACTAGTGGAAGGGAGGTAATTGTAATTGATAGTGCGCGAAGCGTATTAAAATATAAATCTGCCCCGACTGGACGAATTCTAACGCGTTCCCGGTGTCGCAAACCTAAGTTCGAAACAAGAACCTGTCGTGTTATTTGGTAGAAATTAATTATCAGATTAACTCATTCCTATAAAGAAAAAAACAACACGATGACCGATTCGGCAGTCTACCCCAAACTGCATCTGACACAATATAATTGCACAATTTAGGTGAAGTGAGAGGTTTTCAAGAAAGGCGTGGGGCAACTTTCCAATGATTATACTGGCTTAACGACCGTACGGATGTTATGGCAAGCGCGATTATGTGATGATAATGTAACGTTTCAGAAATATAAAATGAATATCATGTCCTGAATGAATTATGTCCATGTTACAAAAACAGCAGGGACAAATTGATCGCCCAGTATTATCTTGTAGAACCATACTTTCATAAATTTATCAATATTCTATCAAGGGAGATGAGAATGAAATTCGAGCGCACACTGATCCATTTACCGAGGTAATAAGGTACATGGGCGGATACACAGGGGGGGGGGGGGGGGGGCTTTTTGTTTCGAAAAAATCTTTATTTCTGTATAAATTACCACCAAAGACAATGAATAGATCTTAGTTGTGCACCCCACCTTTTCAAAAAAAGCTGTATCCGCCTCTGAGGTAGTGTTTTGAGCATGCTTTAGATGTGGATTTTGAGGTTATTTTAGATACGCAATAAGTCCAGTTTCCACCCTTGCCGAACTAGGCTGGAATTCCTGGGCTCAATCGTAGCGCCACCAGTGGCTATTACCAGTTATGACCCCTTCTATGCCTCTCCTATGGACCAATCAGATCCCAACTCTCGTATCACTTGCATTTGCTTCAAACAAAATGGCGGCGCCTAGTCAGGACGATCTGATCGATAATCAAGATCTATATTGTGATAAAACTAGGGTTACATCGCGAAGTGCATCAAATCACGTGATCGCCTTGATTAAAAATATGAACAGATATAGAGGTTATCACGCGAGTGTGTTTGGGGATGGTAAATATCCTGCATTAGGAATAAACATTGTATTTAGCGAGCCTTGGCGAGCTAAATACATAGTGTTTATTCCTAATACAGGATATTTACCATCCCTTAACACACAAGCGTGATAACCTCTTTATCATATAATGTAATTCTTTAATTCTGTGCTTCAAAATCGCTTTCCCTCTCTCACAAACATTACCGAAACATTGCGAGTTTTCCTGGAATGCGCGCATTAATATTTAGTCCGTTACACGGTTAGTGATGTGTCAGTCGGACAGTGACAGTAGCCAATATAGTTCCAACTAAAAACTGTTTCTTATACAGTGGCGAATCAACTTATACGCAAAACAACAGTTGTTTTTAATTGCCTTTTGCGGCAATCCATCGGTCTGTCCGCTAGAGTAACTGCCATTTGTCAAAGGGAAGCTACTCTAACCCTAGTCTATGAGACGTCACGGCCACGGTCAGACGTTGTTGACAGTCGGTCTGTCCTGTCATTACGTTAAGAAGTATAGTCAGATGTACACTCAGCGACAAAACGAAACAAGGTAACAATTCAAACATATTTCGGCCCAATCCAACTATTTTAATATGTGGAGAAGGTTTTAAGCCGCAGAGGTCTACAGGCACAGATATGGCTACTGATCCCGCTTGGCTAGGCCTCGTGCCCTCGCAAAATTGTTTCAAAATTTATATCTCCAAAGTTGCCAAAACTTATAAAATGCCTTAGCTACGTCACGGTTAGACACTGATTCTCAGTATATTAGAATGTTCTTTTGATAATGATAGCAATTATCCCTGTAGTTTATCCAGATTCCCGATGGTTAATTCTGACTCGATCGCCGAATGATGAGGGCGACGCCATGTTTGTTTATAAACAGTGAAAGTAGTCCTACTTGACCTTTGATATTTGCATTTCTATCCGCATATGACCCCATCGGATATCGTTTTTATCCGTTGGCTTTATCCTGCCGAGAAACCTACCCATTATATGAAAATTAGAAAATATCTGCTGACAGCGAATTTGCGGTGCAAATGCTTTGTAAATCCTGCAATCGACCGGATTTCGATTTCGTTGCGCGAATTTGATTGGACTATGCATAGACTCGTTAGTCCAGCCAAAATGTAACTCCATAATACCAACCTAGTTCGGCAAGGGTGGAAACTGGACTTTTATAGTCAGTTAACCCCCCTGCCTCGGGAAGATGTTAGTAGTATGATGCCGCTTTTAATGCATATTGACGTCAGAGAAAAAGCCACACCTCAAATTTACTTTCCCCTTCAAACTGTTATAATTTTTTAATTTGAAGTTTACACGATATACGGCTTTTCAATTGGACGAGAGGTCGGTCGCCTGACCCCGATATTGACGTTCATAAGTGAATGAATGACACAATTTGACGTTCATACGTTTTTCACGAGACCGTGTTCTTGAAAAGACGTAAACACTGACGGACTACTTCCGCATTCCTGGGGAAACTCCTGGGAATTCCCTTGCACGAATACACACAGAAGCGTTCTGTTTTCTGATCATTTAGACCCTTTAATCTTGAATTCAGCATTTTAGTATACATTGAGAAACGTCAGAGAGTTTGACTGCATGATCGTTCACGAATATCCTCGCTATGACCCATACTAGTGAACAAAACAAAAAAATGCACATCCAAAGTATCGTAGTATCGACTCGATCCGTGTCTAGGCTGACAGTGACAGTCTACAGCAATCTATGAGTTTACCTTAGAGTCTATTTAACACATCTTTAATCACCTTTCAATGGTCGGCCAATTGATCAATGACGACTAAAACATGTAACCGCCATAGGTTCATTAACAACTTCCGAAATCTCTCCCGTCACGTTTATCGTGTCGGCCATTTTGACGTTTTGTACTTTTGTACGTTCTCATTGTGACTGACTTACTAAAGTAATTCTTTACAGACCTTTTTCATCTAATGGTGATATTATTTGAATACACGAGTTGCGTAAGATGTTTCAAAATATCAAGTTGTGCATCCATACGCTCATGTCACCTCTCTTTTTGAGGAACGATTTTATTCCGCGATATAGCTGGTTGTCGTATGGCTGTCAGTGTAAACATGAAGTCACACATACTAAATAAGATTATGTATAAATCTTGGCCTTCATACTTTGAGTTAAGAAATTGTGATAAAAATTATTTTAAATGTAATATCTAATGAGGTATGAAATAACAGATAGTTCATCATAACAGCTCCAAAGGCAGAATTTAAATTTAAAAACAAGAAAAAGAAAAGTCTATTTTCACACATAACACACTCTACATCATCGAAGAGTGGAGTTTTAAGTTTTGTGCTTCTAAAAAGTCACCCAGTGTAATAAATTAATGCTACGACCACACGCAGTCACCTTTGCCTTGGGAACGGTCTATGGATACATTGTGCGTCATCAGTATTGTGACGTAACCACAATTGGATGACGTCATCAATGACATGACGTCATGAGTTCCGTTTTTACAGACATGGCGGTGATATGGAAAGGGCAGGGATTCAAGTAAAATCACACGCAAATGGATATGACTGTGAAAATAGCAATGACTCTCCAACTGATTCGTGCGTGTTGGCTGTGGTAACAGAGAACTATCTCCAAGTGCTGGAAAATTAGGAAAAGATTTCAGCAAGTCTATTGCCATCTTCCGTTAGTCTGAACCATTCCGATAGTGATCAGGAACTACCCATTGACGAAATGGATAGACTAAATAAGACATATGGGAAAAACGACACATTTGTCGTGTCTCCCATTCAGGATATACCCGTGAAGGACACGGGTTTTGAGTACACGCCACAAAGGAAAAGTGTGAGGGAGAAATCCAGGAGTCTTTCAGCCACATCAAAACTCTCAGACCGTCTGCGTTTTGAAAAAAATAAATTTGCAAGGCAACATATACCGCCCTTGGATCTTGATCAAATTAACATACTATCCGAAACAAGACGTACTGCTGATCTTAACGAAAATCAGAACTCTGCTTTTGTTTCTTTTTCAAGCGCTGAACAAGTTAATCCGTCGGCCGCCAGCTCAAAAGAAAGACACGGATCAACTGTTGCAGGCTGCCTGTTCAACATGTGGCAGTCTCAACGCATGTGCGATATAATACTGAAAGTCGATGGCCACGACTTTCCAGGCCATAAGCTCGCTCTCGCAGCACATAGTCAAGGCTTTGCCAACAAGTTTTGTGCCAACAAGAATACCGCGGACGTGGCCCAAATACCCGTTCCCAACTGTTCCTTTGAAGCTGCGCAGGAGGTGATGCGATACGTCTACACATCTGAGATCAACATCACCCTGCAAAATGTAGACTCTGTTCTCTCTTGTGCCAAATATCTTGGCATCACGGATGTGGTGGAACAAGGCAAGCGGTTTCTGTTGAATCACTCTATCCAAGAGGCCCTGACGGTCATGAAAATCTCCCGCAAACATGAACTGCTAGACATCTTTTCGAACGTTTACGATTATGTTTGTCTCAATTTCAACAAAGTGGCAAAGACAGATAGTTTTCTTCGTGCACACCACACCGACATGTGTCATCTCCTGTCTGACGACAACCTCTGTGTACAGAAAGAACTGGATGTCTTTTTTGCCGCCACCAGATGGTTGGACTACAACAGACAGGATCGGCAACAGTATGTTCAAGATATTTTGTGCTGCATTCGCTTTTCCCACATTACTCCCGAGGAGATGGTCTCTCACGTCGAACCTAAAGCCCTCCCGACCGAGGATTGCAAAGACCTCTTGATGGGCGTATTCAGGTATATATTTAGCTCGCATGTTTCACCCCACTAGCTGGTGTTCTTTGTTATAACCAAGGGATTAACTTCCTACTTGAACATGTTCACTCACCCACCTACCCACCATCCTTCCCACTATCCTTCACTCACTCACTCACTCGTCCAAGACGCCGTATATCGCTGTGCAGGGCCCTCAGGCACCCCAGAAACCTACGATTGCTCTGCCTATATTTCTATGTTTGTCAGCACTATATACCTGGGGCCGTATCAAACAAATTAAATCATGGTTTCACCAATTTGGTAAACATCTAGGACCTGTAGGCGGTCGGGTAGCCTAGTGGTTAAAGCGTTCGCTTGTCACGCCGAAGACCCGAGTTCGGTTCCCGACATGGGTACACTGTGTGAAGCCCATTTCTGGTGTCCCCCGCCGTGATATTGCTGGAATATTGCTAAAAGCGGGAACTCACTCAATCACTCTAGGACCTGTATACTCTCTTTGGGCTTTCCTTACACATCGAGCTGACACGCCTTGATAAAACTACTCTTCGAAGCAGCTTTAAACCCCACACACTCGTATAGTTGATGAATGAGTGCCTTGTGCCCGTCTAAGTGGACGGGGCCAGGTGAAGCTGGTGTGAGCATTTTTTACACATCGATGACAAACAGTCATTCAGGGTCCCGTTCCGCAAAGCGATCTTCAAGCTACGACCGTCCTCAGTCTGTGCTGAAGAATGGAGTTAAGATCTCCTTAGCGCTAAGATAGCATTGTTGAACGGGACCAAGGTTGGACATCTACGATCGCTGACTTTGTGTGCTGGCGATTAGATGCCTCATCCTGACAGTGTGGGTTCGAATCCCGGACGGGACTCAACCCAAAATAGTATTAGAATCTGTACTTTTCTAAGAAAGTGTTATCCCAAATATAACATTTGTTACATCTCCGATCTGGTTCCTTAGGAGATTAGACATGATATTAATATGAAACACCGTGAAAATTCAAAGAGGGCGTACAATTCAACTCCCAACTAAACAAATATAGCAGCCAGGGCTGTTCCTTAAACCAGTCTTTTTAGATAAAACAGGGACCTTGCCAATTACCCCCTTTATGTCTATGTCATAAAAAAAGCTACCCCCAAAGACGTTTTTCATTGAATTGTTCATAATTTTATCACATAATAATATTTTATGCAAATATTGTCTCGACAAGTATATATATATGTGTGTTATCTGTTCACTCAGGCTTTATAGAACTAACCGATTTTTAAAACGGGCCGTATGTATACAAGAAAAAAATGTGTGTTCGTATTTTGGTCAAAAGACGTTTTGGAAACCAACACATTGGATTTCTCGTAGCTGCGACAATAAGCAGGTTGTATTTAATGTTGATTTAGCATTATTGCATCATATCACGCCTGGGGACCACGAGGATTGATACGTTGTATACCAACCCCGGAAGTCAAATCTGGGTCCGCGGCGTATATAGATGCTTTAACCATCTTCATGTGGGAAGTAATACTGAGTGGCGTAGAGCGTGGGAGTTTCCCTTTGACGTTTGTTGTTTTACGTCTGACAATGTGCCATGAAACTATATACAATATCAATAATCCATTCTGGACCAAGTAGGCCAGTGATTGATATTAAGAGCAACGAACCACGTAGAATGCATTGCCACTTGCATTTAATTTCTTTCATTGATTTTCACTCTTTGCAAGATAACTTTCAACATTGACGTGTTGACATTCGCGTACTAGATAAACATTTTATTGCATCAAGCGGACTGCACTGCAGTATCCGGAATACAGGGCCCGGCTTCCGACGCACGGAAAGGTAGCCTCATGTGTCTGTCCCACCAGTGTATTACAAATGTCGTGGTCGGAAATACTGGAAATACTATGTTTTTTTACAGATACCATGCACTGAGGTATAGCGGAAGTCAGCTGACGGCATCAGAGCGCGTCCTCCCTGAACGACAGTATCACCCAAACCGAGACAGCGAGGGCAACAACAGCCCTCTCGGCAAACGCAAGTCACTGGTAAAGTCACACCAACTGTCACGTTTCAGCTTTCTTTGTGCAGAAGGGATCGAAACATTTAATTGAGTTAGAGCAAATATGTTTAAACTGTTTACAGTGCGGATGCGCATTTGTTTCAGGTACAAACACCATACTATGAAGGTATTGTGTTAAATGTCTATATTTTCACAACGTCATATGATCAAAACCAATCAGACTTTTTCAACGCCTGAAATTAGACCAGACATTTTTTTTAAACCAAAAGTCGCAATGTAAAATGTAAAAAAATATATTACTTCGTTTTCTTACTTCAACGACCAAAAATAAGTATTATGTTGAAAAATTAATGTACTGTCGCTATCAATATCAATAAATCATATAGAATGCTACTTTTTGTTTCACTTTAAAAACATGTCGAAAAACACCAAAACACAACAAAGTATGACGAATAGCGACATATCCATGTCTTTAACGGAAGGAGGTGTCTTAAAGAAATATATAAAAAAAACAAATCTGAAATGGAAATGTTTTTACGTCGTTCAGCCAACAGACATGAAAAAATGTCTGGCCTAACACTTTGTCAAATGCGTTTGTTAGAATACAACCGACGTTATTCCTTGAACTCGTTTCTGTCGTGTTTTAGTTTATATTCCTGTATAGGAGCGCTATATAACGGGGTTTGGGATTCGGGTACAGAGTGAGTAAAAGGCGTCAAACATGGTGATCGGTTGGCCACAATGGATGCGAAGTATGGCTCGTAGGGTGAGCGACCACGCTGGAATACCTACTCGCTACCGTGACCTGGCTGATGCGGTGTGTCATTGTACACCGATGGTCACAGATGTTGACAGAAGCATTAACAACGTGTTTGCTTAAAATGAAACGTGCATTGTAGATACGGATGCATGCTGTGCAATTCACTACTCTATGTATTCGCCAGTATTCAAGCCCTAATAGCAATGACTAGGGCATGTAATATCTTTATATCTTACGCTCATTGATATTATGAGCGACGTACTTCGCAGTAAACAACGAAGTCACTGAAACTTAATACCAATCCCTAACGTCGTCTCGTACAACAAGCATTAATTGTTTGAGTTCTATTTTAACCTGGAATTCCCTGGAATTGTCATACCCTTCTGAGAAAATGTAGATGAAATGGGTTTCCTGGTCTCAAGTGGTGTTGGCCTATTGCTGGTGCGCTTCACATAAAATCATCTTCAAATAATTGCGACAGTGCCGTCATTTGACGTCGCGTTGCTAAAACACTCTTCTCGAACATTTGTCACCACTCGCCCCTTTCCTTTACCTGCAAGAAGACTTGTCCCCCTATCGTTGAATGCTATGTGCGAAACTACGACAAACCAATCAGACTGCGCGAATCATTACGCAACGAGTTGACAATTCTTTAGCTATGCTCGTTTGCGCTTAGACGGAACCCAGTAAGCAAATCATGGCCACGAGAAGGGCACGAGTCGTTATTAGGCTTGTCTCGGAATAACACGAGTTGGTCACGATGTCTTCTCAAACAATAACAACAATGGAATAATTAAACGCATATTATAATCCTCATCCTGAAAATGAGCTCACCTATATCCGTGTCGGGTAACACTAATCAAAGAATCCAGTAACCTTATTTCATTAGTGTGACAGTGTGTAGTTATCGTTGACCACAATACGTTGTTTTTTTTAAGATTTAGGGGTTCTTAGTTCCAGCCCATCCCCACGAAAGAAGATCAGCAAACCCTCACGACAAGCTTCAACAGGGCAAACGGTTTCGTTTCTACCCCACTCGTAGGATTGAGCACAAAAGCCAGCGTGCACAACCAGCCCCTCCCTCCCCGGCCCCCACTGATGATAGCCAGTGGAGGGGTCAACCCCTTTCGGACCGTGGATGGAGACGCACCCTGTCGGCTAGTGGAAGAGTTCAACCCGTATACCAACACCTGGGGCTTGTTGACCCGAATGCCGGATGCAAGGCACCATCACGGGTCGGCGGTTTTAGACGGCCAGATCTATATCATTGGTGAGTCGAGAGAGACATGACGTCACTCTGGTACAGGTGACGCAGCTGTCAATCTTGAATACGGGTCATCTGGGCCCGCTTGCACAAAACAGTTACTGTGAATTCTTAAGATCGCGATCTTCGGTAACTAAGACTGCTCTGTGCAAGTTGGCGCTGTGTGTGTTGTGCCGATAGTTAAATGCGTTGAGCCTATTTCCGGTGTATTGAAAAAAATCGACGTAGATCCCAACAGTTACTCACACATTCACTAACTCGCTCAGTGTACAGAAGTACGCATCTTCCCGAGGCAAGAGAGTTAACTGACTTTAAAAGTCCAGTTTCCACCCTTGCCGAATTAGGCTGGATTTACTAGGCCCCATCGTAGCGCCACCAGTGGCTATTACCAATTGTGTCCCTTCAAAGCCTCTCCTATGAACCAATCAGATTCCACCTCTCGTATCACTTGCGTTTGCTTCACACAAAATGGTGGCGCCCGACCAGGACGATCTGATCGATAATCAAGATCTATATTGTGATAAAACGGGTCTTACATCGCGGAATGCATCAAGTCACGTGAGCACCTTGATTGAAAACATGAAAAGATTTGGAAAATATCTGCTCACAACGAGTTGGCGGTGCACATGCTTTGCAAATCCTGCAATCGAACGAAATCTGCACGACAGTTTACGAACCTGATTTCAATTTCGGTGCGCGATTTTGATTGGACTATGCATTGACTCGTTAGTCCAGCCAAAATGTAACTCCATAATACCAGCCTAGTTTGGCAAGGGTGGAAACTGGACTTTTATAGTCAGTTAACTTTCTTGTCTCGGGAAGATGAGAAGTACAGGGATATATACCAAGTTTATATCTCAATTACAGGTTGCTGTGTTATTTATTTGTTTGTTGTCTATCGCCACACACAGCAATATTTTAGCTATATGCGGCAGTCTGTAAATAATCCAGTCTAGACCAGACAATCCAGTGACTGACATCATGAGCATCGATCCACGCAATTGGGATACGCTGACATGCATCAACCAAGTCAGCGAGCCTGATCACCCTATCCCGTTAGTCGCCTCTTACGACAAGCCTAGTCGCCTTATACGGCAAGCATGGGTTCCTGGAGACCTATTCTACCCCGGATCTTTATGGCTCTGCCGTGATACCACAGTTTTGGGTAGATTAGAAATACGCTACGTTAAATTAGCCGTTTAGTCAAACAACAGATGTGAGCGAGAGATACTCCAGGGGGAAAAGGATCTCCTAACGAAACCATGGTAGCGAAATCTGGGGTATTTCTCACGATTGAATGAGGATATGGGGGCGGTCGGGTAGCCAAGTCGTTAAAGCGTTCGCTCGTCACGCCGAAGACCCGGGTTCGATTCCCGACATGGGTACAATGTGTGAAGCCCATTTCTGGTGTCCCCCGCCGTGATATTGCTGGAATATTGCTAAAAGCGGCGTAAAACCATACTCACTCACTGAATGAGGATATAGAAACAATGCCATGGTTTATTGAATATGGGTGTACAAATCATTCACTAATCACACTTGATGTGGGAATAATCTGCCAGACACACACGGACTTCTTTATAGAATTCGCAAATTCAGCGCTTGAACACCCACGATCTTCACATTTTACTTATTTTGATAAGATTATTTATCTACTGGTTTCATTTCGAAAATGTGGCAATTTCCTATTACTTGAGTTCTACTGCTGGATATTTGTAGCATGTACCTTCTATTAGTCATGTAAAAACAATCGTTTAAGGTATTTTAAACATATGCAATAGACTGTACATAGAGTCTAGGATTCAATGTCGCGCTTGAAAGTTTCAATTTCAATAGTGTTGAATTTTTTTTTTATTTCCAGGTGGGTCATTGGTTGAATGTAGCGACCCCGGGGATCTGGCAAACCCAACCAACACGTGCTACCGCTATGACCCATACGGGAACTACTGGACATGCGTGGCTTCTATGTACCACAATAGGATGTACCACGGAGTTGCCGTTCTTGGCGGAGTCCTGTATGCCATTGGCGGTCAGAATGAATTTGGAGAGTAGGTGTAATTAAAATCTAAATATAAAAATCTTTTGAAAACAATCTCAATATGTTTAAGTTAACTAGCTAAGGTAGATTTAGTTGAGGTAAATATCAATATTAGATCAAACATGCTAGATACATGGCTTTGCAATATATTATCTCGGAGCTGCTCCGTTGTTTGCATATTAATGAGACCTGGGGACACCTGATTGGCTAAATATCCGGCAAATCTAGTTTGTTGTAAACAATTAAACGGCAATCTTTCTGGAAATAGGTATATATTTATTTCGACAATTGTTCCAGTTGAGCAATAAAGCCTTTTAGACTGTTATTGAGATGCAATTGATGCCATTCGTAGCCTTTCGAGACACGGGATAGGCTAAAGTGTCTTAAACAATTACTGTTTAATTAGCCTTTGACCCCAAACCATTTGACCTTGACCCAGGAGTTTGCCATATGTGGAATTCTACAACCCTGACACCGACACGTGGGGCGGTGCCTGCGCCATGACGGAAGCAAAGATAGGAGCGGCGGCGGTTGGACATCGCGGCCTCGTCTACGTCGTCGGAGGCTTCCTGGAAACCGTGGATGAGAAGGTTGTACTTGGCACGGTGGAATGTTACGACCCGATGAAAAATAGGTAGGTATTCATAAACCATCATGTACAAGTTACACACAACCAAATGTTTTCCCATAGACTTTACAAAATAACTAAGCATTCAACAGCTATTACCTGTACGTGTGTGCACAGTTTGGCCTTAGAGCAGCAATAAAAAAATAAAAAATGACTAGCTTACCCAGCTCTTTTTCCGAGTACAGGAAGCTAAACACACCACCCCCAGTTTCGCACCAAATGTCACCTACTTGAAAATAGCTGTGGTCACATTCAGCATAAGTCATCATGTTGAAAAAGACAGTACTAAATATAGAAAAACATAGTCAGTTTAAATAACTGGATGGATGTACATTTGAAAGACATAAAAATCTTACAGGATATCCTCCAATCACAGCCTGCAGATATCTCTCGATCTGCACTGAAGGCCCCTACGAAAACCGCACTGTCCAAACTGGTTCTGATTTGGTGTAGTAGAACCTAGACAAGACCTTTGGTTAGCTAGTGCAGAGACCATATAATAGAGGGTCTCTGGCTAGTGGTGAGGCTGAAAATATGGAAAGCGGTTTCAATTGTTCCATTGTTTGTTCCTGTTCCATGGCGAGGTGACGTCAAATCAGCGCATTGTCGCAAATAATTAACGATGACTGCATCTATTGTTCACAACCGAACTCCGGCGCAGTGGTGACTCAGCATAACACCACTGCCACAGGCTAATTTGCATATCACGTGACCGGACTTTTCTCTTGTTCGTAAACAAACGCGCTTTTTCAGAAATCAGTTTTCAACGGACTCATGCAAGTATTTGGGGTCGCTTTACATATTGTTTTGCATAATTATACTACAACTGCGACAGTGAGATGCATGACAATATATATTTATGTATCAAAGTGACCGTATCGCCAGCTCTCCGTTGGGCTTCGATGACAGCACGTGGAGCCTTACAACCAATTTAACCAGAGAATAACTACGAAAAAACAAATAGATTTTCACGTATTAGGATACTTTCTTAATGAACTTTAACCATTCTTTGACGTTTGTTGAAAATGGGTTGACTTGTCAAACATGAAACGGATGAAAAGCATATTCATTATCTTGAATGGACTGTGAAAGATGTGACGAATCGTCACATGGCGCTGGCTTGTGGCAGAGGTACTATGCTGGCTGGCTGCCGGCCGCATGGAACTCTGGGTAGGAGAGTGGTTCACAACGTCACAGATGGTTTCATGTGCCGTCATTTCAATGATACACCCATGTGTCCGCTCTCCTACCCAGAGTTCCATGCGACCTCTGCCATAGGCCAGCACATCTTACACAGTCCATTCAAGATATTGCAAACGTTTTTCATCTGTTTCTTTTTTTACACAAGTTTACATATCAAGATAAACATATGTCATAGAATTGTTAACTTTTCAGTGAGAAAATATCCTAAATCGTGAAAAACTATTTCCATTGCGTAGTTATCCTATGTTTACATTGGTTGTACGGCTCCACGTGCTGTCATCGAAGCCCTAATGAGAGCTAGCAATACGGTCACTTTGATGTGTAAATATGTATTTTCATGCAACTCACTGTCGCACTTGTAGTAGCATATTTATATAATAATGTAAAACAATATGTAAAGCGCCCCTAAATACTTGCATTAGTCCGTTCTATTCTGATTTCTGAAAATGCGCGTTTGTTTACAAACAAGAGAAAAGTCCGGTCATGTGATATGCAAATTAGCCTGTGGCAGTGGTGTTATGCTAAGTCACCACTGCGCCGGAGTGTGTCAAGTGTGCCAAGTGTTGAGTTCAGAAAACACACTAGTTTCTCCATTCTCTCAGAATATGGGTGATAATAAAGCTATTATATATTTAAGAAATACACGACGAGTGGGAGTTTTCTATCGTACAATAAAACACTGCAGGGAGAATAGACCACGAGGGGCTACATCTATGGGGAACAACGCCAATATACGATCTCATTAAGTTGCGAGCACATGTTAGAGAAATGAAGTCATGATTGCTATTGTCCAGGGCTCCGTTCCACAAAGCGATTTTATCCCTTAGATGATCATAACTCATGCAACACATCATCTTAGTTAGTGGGCACGGGTGGCCCAGTCGTCTCAGGCGCCGCGATTCGCTGTGCAGAGTTGCGTCCCTTGGGCACGCCAGAAACCTATGATTGTGGATTCGAATCCCGGTTCGCCCCGATTATGTTTCTAGGTTTGTCAGCACCATACCCATGCTCGTGGGTTTCACCGCAGTGGTAAACGTCTGAGACCTGCATCACTTCGGGCTTTCCTCCCACATTAGGCTGACACGTCGCGATATAACTGGAATTCTGTTAAAAGCGGCGTTAAACCCAACTCACTCACTCATCTTAGTTACTGTCACGTAGAACGCCTTGAGGAAGTGACCCCTGTACATGGGTCCCAGATGTTAATGTAATGTAATGTAATGATATCAGTGTATGTGACGTCAATAAAAAACATTAGATGATGTCATATAGTATTTTTCTCATCAATGAATGGCTTCAATCAGCACTGACAATCGCTAAATGCACATTCTATCCTTATGGTGAGGTGAGGTGAAATGGGGTTCAACGTCGCGTCCAAGATTATTGCACTTATATTGCGACGTGCATGTACGTGTGTGTGTTTGTGTGGCTGCTTGTACTAGTCCGGACTGATGCCGATTTATAGTGCTAGCTCACTGAGATACCATGCCGCAGTTTAACATGAATATCCCACTCAGACACAGTATACTGACTCCGAGCCGACCAGTCCTTGTTTTAGCCCCTTAATGCCGAGCGCCAGACAGGGTAACAACAAGTACCATATTTTAACGTCTTTTGGTATGACGCGACCGGACGCTCTACCACTAGACCACGGAGGCGGTCCCATCCTTATGAGTAAAATCATCCTTCTAGCTCGTTGTTGTTCTCCGCTGTTTAAGCCTTCTCTTCAGCTTTTTAATTGCTTGTCTCAAGAGCAGCCGAGTATATGTATCACAGATTGATGGAAAAGATGCTTTGTTTTACCAACTCAGAAAGCTGCAACGGCCTTCATCAGATGTAACTCTTCCTGTCGCGTGTCCGTGATATTACTAAAGTACTGTTAACGGAAACATAAACAGTCTGATGAAGTTTCCGTTCTATTTCATAACGCACACACTTGATCCCTCTCTGCAGATGGTTGGGCAAAAACCCACTTCCGGGTCCCCGATGCCACGCCGGTCTCGTCGAGGTCAAGGACACGTTGTACCTGGTGGGAGGGTCAACCTTCTACGATGACAGTGACGCCATCACCAGCCTCGATGCCATTCTTCGTCTTGACGACGACCACGACCGCTGGGACCGTGTGCAGACACTCCGAGTGCCTCGACACGACGCCGGTGTTACTGCTATCGGTGAGTGCTAAATCATGATTGAAACATGTTATATGCCGCTTGACAGGGAAAATGGCTGTGACGTAATACGGGTCATAATAGCTGGTCATTTGCATAATTTATTCATTGGTAAAAGGAGCAGAGAAAGTGCGACGTGGATCGTTGCTCATGATATCAGAGTGCCGTCATACTTGGAAGCACCAGCAGTCTTCTCTGAAAATCTAGTTCGTTACAGAAGTTCATAGACTGTGATAAAAGTTCTTGGTTAGAATAGGTCTAGAGCGACCCATGCATGCCGTAAAAGGCGTTTATGCTTGTCGTAAGAAGTGACTAACAGGATCGGATGGTCAGGCTTGCTGACTTGTTTGATGCATGTCATGGTATCCCAATTGCGTTGATCGATGCTCATGACGTCAATCACTGGATTGTCTGGTCCAGACTGGATTTTTTACAGGCCACCGTCATACAGCTGGAATATTGCTGAGTGCGGCCTTAATAACAAACATCAAGTCCTTCACCATGATTGCTTTGTGGAAAGCGCCCAGGACCCCGTACCAGAAAGGGACCTCAGCTCTACGATTGTCGGAATTCAGTTTTAAAATATGGGACCTACGATCGTCCTAGCGCTGAGGAATTGGGCCCTGATCCTCATCGGCTGTAAAGATGCAAGGGGTCCTGAGTTCACATCCTTCACCGGACACACAACGAGGAAGTGCACCATGAATTATATAGGAGTGAACTCGACAGCCACTGTGGATTCTTTGCCTGGAGGGACGATGAGAACCATTGTCCGTTACTATTTATAAGTCCTTTCGACCATTGTCTTGGTTTGACTAGGTGTCCACTTATACAGAGCGTTAGCGTCTTTTGGTATGACGCGGTCGGGGATCGAACCCCGGACCTTCCGCTCTCCGGGCGGACGCTCTACCACTAGACCACGGAGGCGGTCCTCGGGGCCCAGAAAGACGGCGTAGACGAACTAACGCGGTGTACGGATTTGCATAACGTTTTAATTGAGACATCTCAGGACGTCTTTCTAAATTTGATAACCCATATAAACTTAAAAACCAGGTGATGTTTACTTGTTATCATGTGTTGCTGGACGTAAATATTTATGTTGTCATTACCTTGCCCGATATACGAACAAGAATGCACTACTAGACATGAAGCAGTCCCCTTTACAGTATAAATTAAGATCACAATAGATATATTACCTTCAAGAGTTGTGTTGAACGTCGCGGATTATACAACTTATATAGAGATGTGTATGCTCGTCTCTCTCTCTCTCTCTCTTTCTCTCCCCCCCCCCCCCCCCCTCTCTCTCTCTCTCTCTCTCTCTCTCTCTCGTTATAAAATGATAATTTGTCATTTTCACGTCAGAGAAGAAAACCCACTGAAAATATTATTTGTATTCATAACCGAACCAATATGTCAGCTTTTGTTTCACCCATTAGAGTATTTACCCGGAACGTAACAATCACATGCTTTCCCAATTGATATTTTCCAAAACGTTTTTCTATATTTTTCCTTAACAACAGCATCCTTCGCAACAAGGGTCGACAAGCCATTAAGTAAAATGTATCCGACTCTGTCGGGAAAACGTTACGTTTAATTATTTCTCGAATTTATAAACACCTCAATTCGATAAGAATTTTATAACATTTCAATTATTTGTTATTGTTAAAGTAATAATAATTAATATAATTATAATAAATTGAAGAATGGTCAAGTCTAGTACACAGTTTATACTGAAGGGGGTGATAGGTAAGGGTTTTTTTCCACCGCTTTTCATCAAGTATCAACATGCTAGTGATTATGTAAAGATAACGTTACCATCCATCACGTGGTATTGCCATATCTGCAGCCATTGACTGATAAAGATATTAAGGTTCACTAGGTCTCAGTCATGATATCTTGGGTCATTTCGTGAGACGCTTTCAGGATAAGTAAACGTTTTGTTATGTAATCTGTCAGCCCATTTGTGTCTGCACATATCTTGATTTGAAAATACGGCTGTCTCAAGGTTTCACGATAGGCGTCTTTTAAATGAGGCCAACAAACCCCGTATAATCAGATGTTGACGTGGACCAAACAAAACATATCATGGTAATGATGGTTCTTATCTGAAAGGAGGTGGCGAGGTAGCCTTGTGGGTAAAGCGTTCGCTCGTCACGCCGAAGGCCCGGGTTCGATTCTCAACATGGGTACAATGTGTGAAGCCCATTTCTGGTGTCCCCCGCCGTGATATTGCTGGAATATTGCTAAAAGCGGCGTAGAACCATACTCACTCACTGTTATCTCAAAGAATGTCGACTATTGGTTGCTTTGAACCAGGGAGCATATATGTATTTCCCAAGTGAGAGCTAGACAAATCTACACGCACTCATTGTGTTGTTCAGTCATTTGTATACACACACGTGTGGATATAATCTTATGATTATCAATACTTTGTGGGGAAGACGTAGTGTCTTCTGTATTGAAAAAAGTGTGATGAGGTGAAATTGTGTTTAACGCCGCGTCCAACATGTAGTCCTAATGTAGTGACGTACCGATCTAGTGCCAGCGCATTTAGATTTTATGCCGCAGTTTAACATGAATACCACTCTCAGTCACAGTATACTGACTCCGAGCCAACCAGTCCTTGTTTTAGCCCCTTAATGCCGAGCGCCAGGCAGGCTAACAACAAGTACCATCTTTTGACGTTTTTTGTATGACGCGGCCGGGGATCAAACCCCGGATCTTGGCTTTCCGGGCAGACGCTCTATCCACTAGACCACAGAGGCAGTCCCGTGTCCTGAAGGTAACGTCTTAAATGCCGTCTTGTATTACTTTTGGTCAAAGACTAGGGTCTTTGCATCACGTCAACCATGCTGTAGAGAGAAATGTGAAATTCATCGATCCTGACAACGTAAGTGCTTCGTATAGATTTGTATCAAAATAGAATAGATAGCGTGATTGATGCTATAAACCAATCCGATAAACACGGTATCACGATCCGATAAATATGCAAATGAGGTCATACTAATTTTAGTAAGTTCAAGTTGTAGATGCGTGATCTATTTGGACGTCTAACAATTGCATAACGTCCCAAACACGTTCCCCAACGTGTGGCCGCTTATGCAAACAAAACGGACGGCAAATTACTTGGCACTTAATAATAAAAAGTGCGAGTCACTCAGTCATTGTGACTTACGCGGTTTCCAAAGTTACTTTGGTGAATGAAAGTATGGCTTAATCTCACACCTCTCACCCCCCGCCCCCCTCCCCCTCCGCACGCACGCACGCACGCACACACACAGACACTCTCTCTCTCGCTCTCTCTCTCTCTCTCTCTCTCTCCTTCCTTTCCTACCAAATCGGTTCATCATCTCGCCTCCACGTACCACCTCTCCTTCCCTTCCCACCTCCGCAGCCGGGACCGCCTCCGTGGTCTAGTGGTAGAGCGTCCGCCCGGAGAGCGGAAGGTCAGGGGTTCGATCCCCGACCGCGTCATACCAAAAGACGTTAAAAGATGGTACTTGTTGTTACCCTGTCTGGCGCTCGGCATCAAGGGGCTAAAACAAGGACTGGTCGGCTCGGAGTCAGTATACTGTGTCTGAGTGGGATATTCATGTTAAACTGCGGCATGGTATCTCAGTGAGCTAGCACTATAAATCGGCATCAGTCCGGACTAGTACAAGCAGCCACACAAACACACACACGTACATGCACGTCGCTATATAAGGGCAATAATCTTGGACGCGACGTTAAACCCCATTTCACCTCACCTCACCTCCGCAGCCACAGATCTGAATTGTTTCACTTTCAAAATGGTATCCACACAACCCAGACCAGTTGTTGATTAATCGCGATAAATATTCTCTCATTCACGAGGATTGTGTGCAACTACAAACGAGAGTACGTCAGAAGCGACCTTAGTAAATGGAATTGGTCTCACAAAGTTACCATAACGAATGTCGGGTGAGTGACTTGCTTGTTTTCGCCACTCTGGTCAGTATTTCAGGGATCTCAAAAAGTGTCAGCTTAAGGTGACAGGTAGCTCGAAGAGAGACAAGACGTGGACGTGGTGAAACCACGAGTACGGGTATGGTGTTAACTGTTAAGGATCACAATCGGGATGCTCATATATTTGGAATTCGGACCAGCGACCGAAAAAGAAAATGTTCCAAAAAATTCTTTAAAAAATAGTTATGCTTCAGACTGAAGAAATGTTTTTTGCATGCCACAAAGATGGCATTTGTGCAAGGTGTTTTTCTTTAAAAAAAAGCATATTCAGGCTTATTGCTTTAATGACAAAAATGTCTGGTTTTGCAGCTGTAGCTGAAAAAAACAAAACACCCCCCCCCCCCCCCCCCCTTAAGACGGGTCCCGGATGTTGCAATTGTGTTGCAAGTCTACTACCCGCCTAATGTCCGGACATTTGCACTACTTGCCCAAGGACAACCTGCAGATAAGGCCCGCCTGTGTTATAACAGTTCTGGAAACAACATGCAGCGACCTACATCTATACCGTTATCTGAATCTCTCCCAAACCATTGGCCGCGTATGCACTGCGTTTAGTGCTACTAAATACCGTTCGAGCATAATTACTTATTAATAAAAATAAATTGTGTACAAACTGCTCCTGAAAAAGAATGTTCTGAAGCCAGTGTTTGGCAAGAAAGTTTTAGCGCACGACGAGACGGTAACATTTTGACGTCACAACAGCAATCTTCAGAACTTTGGGTGAGGTTCATTATGGATATGAAGCCATACCACACCGTCCAGACAATACCTACTGTGCATGTATGGTTCAAGTAACTATCGATCTCCCCGTTTTGGTTATAAAATCGAAAACTGTTACTTTCAATTTTTTTGTCGGATATTGATAATGGTAGTGTCATGTTACATTGTACACTTGAGTCTATTTATGCCGGTCCTGGTCGAAACAATTGTTACCACAAGGTATGTCACACTGTTCGGTTCCTCACACGGGTACAATGTGTGAAGCCATTTTTCACTGCCCCCCTCCATGGCATTGCGTGAATATTGACAAAAGCGGCGTAAAACCATACTCACTTACTCGTGATATCATAAACTGGGGCTCAAAAGAATCTATACCTCTCAGATTGTATGTTTGATGTTTGTTAGTGATGTTATATCCAAATAATGAACTGCACTGGCGCTTAGTCAGCATTCATAATATTATTGGATTTAAGACTTTAAAAATTAAAAATTAAATTAAATTAGACACCTTATATTTGAAAATCAATATTTTTCGGCCCTCATTTACAATATTTCAAACATGGTATGAGTCATGTGGTTGCAAATTCATTTCTTACTCCAGTCTTTATTAAACCAATGTATTATTTTACAAAATTACCCAGCCACATCCTTTCACAACCTGTTGCAGGACTAAGTGATGGTTAAATAGACATAGTCAAATTTAACAACAATTATTTCAATTTTCAATTATATAATAAATAAACTGGGTTTTTCGTTTTTGCCCCTCAGTATATGTACGTTTATGTGTTTATCATGATTCTCAACTCAAACGTCTCATGTTGGCCTTTCCTCTCTCGACCCGTAGGGGCGGTCGGGTAGCCTAGTGGTTAAAGTGTTCGCTCGTCACGCCGAAGACCCGGGTTCGATTCTCAACATGGGTACAATGTGTGAAGCCCATTTCTGGTGTCCCCCGCCATGATATTGCTGGAATATCGCTAAAAGCGGCGTAAAACCAAACTCACTCACTCACTTACTCTCTCGACCCGTGAAGATTCCGGGGTAGAATAGATCTTCAGCAACCCATGCTTGCCGTAAAAGGCGACTATGCTTGTCGTAAGAGGCGACTAACGGGATCGGGTGGTCAGGCTCGCTGACTTGGTTGATGCATGTCATCGATCCCAATTGTGTGGATCGATGCTCATGATATCAATCACCTGATTGTCTGATCCAGACTCGATTATTTACAGACCGCAGTCATATAGCTGCAATATTGCTGATTGCGGCGTAAAACAACAAACAAACAAACAACCAAACCTTTCCTCTCTGTGTTCAATGTGACAGGGATTCCATGTTGGCTGATGTCCCCTGTACATCATGTGTAGTTATGGATCAGGTTGGTCACAACGTGTGCTTGTGATTGTGTGTTGTAACAGAGACCCGAGTCACCGGGGTACCTTGCCGCAGAATGCCGTATCTCGTTATCTACCGAGAGCGACGCCACTGAGTCACCACTGCGATGAACATCTGACAGACTTGTTTCCGACTATCTGTGCGCTGCTCGTTTCCATATTCAGGAGTGAGTGAGTGAGTTTGGTTTAACGCCGCTTTTAACAGTATTGCAGCTATATCACGGCGTGTCAGCTTAATGTGGGAGGAAAGCCCGAAGTGATGCAGGTCGTTTCCCACTTCGGTGAAACCCACGACCACGGGTATGGCGCTGACAAAACTAGAAACATAATCGGGGCGAACCGGGATTCCAACCCACAATCATAAGCTTCTGGCGTGCCCAAGGGACGCAACTCTGTACAGCGAATCGCGGCGCCTTAGACGACTGGGCTACCCGTGCCCCCCTTTCCATATTCAAGATCTATTCTGATATGTTGCCGAATAAAATGACATGATTGTGACTGTTTTTGAATAATATCTTCTCACAATTGTGCTTTATAAATGTCACATCGTGCGATTTATCGTCCTATATTTTAAAGAATACATACAAAAGGTATTTTACAAATTGCAGCTTTAATCTTGCGCCTTTTTCAAGCCCCCGATCGTGATCAAATTTTGTCTTTGACTTAAGATATTCTCATAGATTGAGCTTCGTGAGCCCCGATTTAAGACAAAATTTGGTCTTAAATCTAAATCAAAAGACAAATTATGTCTTAAGTTAGTTTCATGGTCCCGGGACCTAGTTCATTCTACTTGCACAAGATCTTTAGCCGTCTTGTGTTATTGTGAAATTTGTAAGTATTTATTTACAAAGTTTGTAGGAAATGGCCCATTCTGAGTTGCCTTAATTTACCTTTTTGATCGAGTCACGTGGCGGTCCCTTAAAAGCTGACCCCCTGATGCCTTTGTCCCCACGGACGGGGACATCGGCTTTTGCTCTCATGGTTTGAAGGACACGAGTCGTATAGAAAGTGTAAGTGTGCCTGCTAAAATTACGCTCATTCATCAGGCTTTTTTTACAAACTGAAGTCCGGTCACTCTATTTGGTGCGGCCATTAGCAAGCGTAGCGAGTGCTTTATCAACAGACAAGCGCCCAGACAATTTTATCACGTGGGCACAGTACGACAACGTCAAATGTTCTGACGACGCACCCTCTCGGTCCGGTGACTCTATATCAACGCTGTCAACTCCATATCAGACTGATAGCAACGCAGGCAACTCCACATTTGACTGATAGCAACGCAGTCAACATCCATATCAGACTAATAGCAACGCAGTAAACTCCATATCAGTCGGATAGCAACGCAGTCAACTCCATATCAGACTGATAGCAACGCGGTCAACTCCATATCAGACTGATATCAACGCAGTCAACACCATATCAGACTGATATCAACGCAGTCAACACTATATCAGGCTGATAGCAACGCACTCCACGTGTAATGGTTGTGAAAATCGTCGTTTGTGTTTTTTTATATTTCTTTCGACAACAAATAGAAATATATCTTGCAAACAATTTGGTATTTAAAATATTTATCAATCTACTTTCCCTAATAATCCAATCGGGGAACTGTTGGACAGACGTCAGACAAAGGAAACAGTCGAAATATGAAAATACACTATATTACCTGCATGAAAATAAACAAAGGATAGTTTGATCATGTTTTCCAAATTTAGTAACACTGATCATACTTCAATGGTTCAACGATCTTCCGTCACTGATTGCGCCGCGGTTCAATTATTCATTGGTTCAACGTTTAATTTACGTCGTCCTGGTGTCGTGTTAATGGAGATATACTTCCTCACAGGAAATTATTATTTATAAACGTGTACGTTTGTGTACTTTCAGGCACCCAAATATACATAGTTGGGGGAGTGACGTCATCAGACAACCATGCACTGGCTGACGTCGAGGTGTTTGACGTGGCAACCTGTGATTGGCTGGACGGCACAGACTGGCTCACGCATGCAGCATTGGGTATCTCTTGCTGTACTCTTGATGCCAACAACGAATCTTAAGATTCGAAATCAAATTGCATGTACAGCATTGTTAACCTTATAACATTTATGTTTTATTTACCTTTTTTATTATGTTGTGATAGAAATATACATCAAACAATGAAAGGAGTGTTTTCTTAAATATACGTCTAACGGTTTACCTTATTTATACAATATAAGGAATACAAATGTTTGCTTATTAATTTGTAAACTATGATTTCTATATTTGGTGAATAACCTTCATATAAAGACCACGGTGCAATCACAATGTAAGGAATATAAATTTACAAGAAGTTAGTTTTTAAAAAGATATCATTTTTAACAATTATTGAACACCTATAGTAGTAATGATATAACAATTTGAGGAATGTGAATGAAATATAACAACTCATTTTGCAACAATGTGTTTAAACAATTTAGCGAATATGTTACACATAATAAGAAGATAAAGTGATAAGCTGAAAACAGTATAATAAGCTATGCCGTTCTAGACTATAGGGTGCTTGCTTTTTGTACGTCTCTACATGATATTAATGTCAACATATATTTTCGGAATAAACCATGAGAAATGAAATCTTGATGTCGATTTTGTCCTTAGCTCTTGCGTACCAGAGCTGTTACTGAACAAGTGCAAGTAAAGCACGACGCCACATGACGTCACTTCCTTACCACCACTCAGAACAGTTGATCAGCGTCAACATTGCTTTACATCCCAGTGGGGATTCGAGTTACAACAGCTCAGAAACAACCCATGCCATTGTTATCCTACTAAACGTCTTAATGGATCGGGTGGTCAGGCTTTGTGGCCTTGTTGAGTGCGTCGTTGCTGCATGATATCATTCCCCAGGTCCTCACCACCAAAAGAAACGCGAACCTATACAAAAACTCGGCAAACGAATGTTCACTCGGTGTACATGTAATATAACTTCTTCCAGTGGCATTTAGAGTGAGTGAGTGAGTGAGTTGGGTTTAACGCCGCTTTTAACAGTATTCCAGTTATATCATGGCGTGTCAGCTTAATGTGGGAGGAAAGCCCGAAGTGATGCAGGTCTCAGACGTTTACCACTTCGGTGAAACCCACGAGCATGGGTATGGTGCTGACAAACCTAGAAACATAATCGAGGCGAACCGGGATTCGAACCTACAATCATAGGTTTTTGGCGTGCCCAATGGATGCAACTCTGCTCAGCGAGTCGCGGCGCCTTAGACGACTGGGCCACCCGTGCCCCCAGTGGCATTTAGAAGTTGGTGTGATGAAGAAAGACAAGTTCTATGGATGAACAACTTCTTTATTACATTTAGTGCGACGTTTCGGTGTTTCACTTGCTTGATATAGGTGTTAGGATCTACACCGAAACGTCGCACTAATTGTAATAAAGAAGTTGTTCATCCATAAATCTTGTCTTTCTACATGTAATATATAATAAAATAATAAAGTCCACGTTAGTCCAACATCTTCTTTTTATCAGTTTCAGACATAAACTGATATATATATATATATATACTCACTAGAGAAGTATCTACGTTGATTCCACTGTGTACCAAACAGTCAAGTGTTACCACAGAGTGACTTTAGTCTCATCACGATATGCTACACGTGATTTCCAAACTTTACACACTAATCCTGCGCGAGACAAATCTCAAGTCATGGATCTATGCGTTCATGAGCATAGGTTCACACAACATACCCCTATGTTCGTTTGTGCATTGCATCAATCTAATATCTCTTAAATATATAAGTAAGTCCTCACATATTAACCAACATGTATGGTATTCGCGTTTCTTTTGGCGGTGAGTATATTAAGTTACAAAATTGCTGAGTGGGGCGTTAGAAAATAAACAAATGAGAATTACCCTGGTTACACAGACACAAGGTACTAATTGCAACGTCTAGGTTCTTTCAGACTGGAAATTAGAACCAGACCGTGGACTTTATAGTTCCCATTAAATCTTCACACTGAACGAAGATAGTCGAGGGGTTGTGGAGACAATGACGCAAAACGCGCCTTCTTCATTACGCTGTATGGTGTGCCACGTGTGTGAATTGCGACACATTTTATCTTCAGCCTGACCAGACCGCTCGTTCACAACCACGAGACGATCACCTGACATCAGGCGACGAGAAGTGCCCTGTTGAGATTATCTTTAAGAAGTTTAGCAGCGATTGTCAATGTGTTTCGCAAAGGCCAACACGTGACAGTTGCCAAGGAAAACGGTACTTCTGTTATATCACGCCGTTTCAACTTAATGTGAGAGTGAGTGAGTGAGTTATAATATAACGTAACATCGGCAATGTTTCCGACATATCGTGACGAACTTAATGTGAGAGAAAAATGGGATGGTGGCGTTTACCACTTTGGGGAAACTTACGAAACCTGTCGCGCTGACAAACCAAGGATCATAACCATTGCGCCTGTTGGATTCGAACCCACGATTAACGGATTCCAAACAACCCCTACCTACTCCCTTCCCCTACCTCATGTCGTGGAACTATGGAGGTGTGATACACCAGGGTAATCAGGGTAATTAACCACACCCCACTATGTTGCACCGCACTCGATTCGGAACGCGTCGCGATGTAACGCCACGCAACGCAACGCATCGCGTCAACGCGACTGTATAGAAAACTGTGTGTCGTCGTTATTGTTGTAGTTTCCTTCTTCCGCCTCCGTGGTCTAGTGGACACAGCATCTTCCCAGAGAGCGGAACATGGGTGGTTTTATCCCAAGGCCTCGTCATGCTTTAAGGCGTTAAAAGATGGTACTTGTTGTTACCCTGCCTGGCACTCGCCATTCAGGGGCTAAAACAAGGACTGACCGGCTCGGAGTCAGTATACTGTCCCTGTATCTAGCACTGTAAAAGAGGCATAAGTCCGGCCTTGTACAACAACCACACACGTCAACGCACGTCGCAATATAAGTGAAATAATTTTGAACGCGACGTTAACCCCATTTCACCGCACCTTATCTTTAAAAAAAATAAAGACAACACGTTATGTGCAAACATTGTTCATTCTACGACAAGTGTTACATCAACAAAGGAGTGAACGGTGATCTTCTAAGGAGTACAAAAAGTACAAAAAGTAACGCCACGACTGATAAGGGGGCATGATGTATGAGGCCGCCAGTGGGTGTGGACCATCTGTCGTGTTGTATCCACCGACCCATCTCCTGCAAGCCCAGCACGGATGTACGTCGTTCACCCACCCACACGTGGAAATTAAGTATCTCTCACTGCGGAACACCGGATGTCCGAAACACCCAACCCTAAACAAGTCGGGAAGTGTTGTCTGATATTACCCGCCGAAACTTTTGTTTGGAGTGAGTGAGTGAGTGAGTGAGTTGGGTTTAACGCCGCTTTTAACAGTATTCCAGTTATATTACGGCGTGTCAGCTTAATGTGGGAGGAAAGCCCGAAGTGATGCAAGTCTCAGACGTTTACCACTTCGGTGAAACCCACGAACATGGGTATGGTGCTGACAAACCTAGAAACATAATCGGGGCGAACCGAGATTCGAACCTACAATCATAGGTTTCTGGCGTGCCCAGGGGACGCAACTCTGCACAGCGAATCGCGGCGCCTGAGACGACTGGGCCACCCGTGCCCCCACTTTTGTTTGGAAACTCTTAAGGACATGTTCATGGGGATGTTAAATTCATAGCACGGAGGGCGTTTTATTTAAGATACGTGAATTCTTTTCAACACTGTGAGGGAGTTATCTTATTGTCTATCTGGAACTGACGTGGTATCAATAATTATACATTGTTCCGATCTGATACCACCAGTTAGTGGTTTTCCTCCCCAGACCTCAAGTAGACTACAGTGTTAAACGTATTCACTCACTCATACCAGGGTTCATTTGCAAGCGATCTTAACGTTCCGGGGACGGTGAGGTAGTCACGCTCATCACGTCGAAGGACCGGATTCGAATCTTTACATGGGTACAAGGTGTGAAGCCCATTTCTGGCCCCGGGATCACGAAAGTGGTCTTAGCTCAAATTTTGCTAGGCACGAATTTTGTCTTAAGTTTGTAAGATTTTGCTTAGCTAAGATTCGGTCTCAGACTGGATCTTGAAACGGTCTCAGCAAAATCTTAGCTAAGTCTAAGTCTAAGACCGTCGTCATAGGGACACGCGCACGTCGTTGTACAGATCAAGAGGGTTGAATCGGTCTCGAAATGTCCGATGAATTGCTATTTTGTCCTTTTTAGCCCTTAGGCGACGCATGAGGCGAACAACCTCCGCCATCTTTCTTGCTACAAATTTTGTCTTAAGTCTACTCAGGGGCAGTCTTAGGACTTAAGATCAAATTTTGTCTTAGACTTAAGATATTCTCACCGATTGAGCTTCGTGATCCCAAATTTAAGACAAAATTTGGTCTTAAGTCAAAATCTTAAGAGTTAAGTCAAAATATGGTCTTAAGTTAGTTTCATGATCCTGGGGCCTGGTGTCCCCCGATACTGCAGGAATATTGCTTACTCACTCAACTACTTATCTCTACAACTATTGAATCGATTGTGCAAGCAGGATCTCAGCCTAAGAGCAAGGCGATTTTATACGTCTTTTATGGTATCACAGCAACATCTCCAAGAGTGCTTTGAGGGCGTTTTCTCATTCCGATATCTGACAAGATGACTTCACGAAGACGACAGCTTTTTGTTGGGACAGCTGCTTATACTAAGATAACAGAGCCGGTTGTGCGTATGATGAAGACAACAGGTAAATGACACACTGTTAACAATAACGCCAGATAGCAGCGGTTGTGAAGTATACATGCACTTGGAGGTGATAAACTTTCATGTACGCTGTACATGTCCCAGACCCTAGAGAATAAATTAAAAAACGAGCCTCAACTCGAGTCTAGAATGATTTGGCAAGTCTACAATATAGCATTGCTCTGGGCTGCATTTGGATTTTATTTTTTATTATGTAGATATATGTTTCGAGATGGAATCACTTTATTTTGGGACAACATGTTAGTCTAAAATCAAACATAAGTACCGTTTTGTATACTCTGCAACAAATTAGATGTATATTTTATATATCATACGTATCAATAATCAACAGACGATAATCTATTGTTTAAAATTGGCACATATCATTCTCATTGACCCAGGTTCCATATGGCACACATGGAACAGAAGATTTTCAAGGTGAAGGTCATCTGTTCTCAATATCTTGTATGGCCACCATTAGAGTCCAAAACTGACTGGCATCGTCGTCCCATGGAAGCAATCAGATCCCGAATTGTGGCCTGTGGAATGTTCACTCAATCTGCCTGCAGTGCTTGTAGCAACTGTCGGAGGTTCTGTGGTTGTTGCTGACGTGCTCGCAGTCGTTGATCCCAGTGCCTCACTAAACCAAACGGATCTCCATCGCAGTAGTGGCCATACTCTGTGACCCGACGAAGGAGGACAGGTGAAAAGACCCAGAGTTGCAAATGATAATGCCCAGAAAAATAGCGTTATCCTTATTATGGCTAAAATGAATAGAATTTGTTACCAGGTGAGGTGAGGTGAAATTGGTTTAACGTCGCGTCCAAGATTATTGCTCATAGAAAGCGCTGTGCATGCAC